TATGGGTGCTGAGTTAAATGGTTAAAATTGCTACTGGTCCAAATTATCTAAAAAAAAATTGAATAGGAAAAAAAACTGGTGTGATTTTACCTGTATTTCCCACATTTCCCCAGTAGAGGCGCACTACATACACTGGTGTGTATTAGAGGCAAAGTAACAGTGGAGAATATACTGATGCATGCTCAATAATTCAGGTAGAAAAATCTAAAACGGCATCCCTCTTTCAGGGATGAAGATGTTCACATCCTGAACAGAGAGGAACGATGGTTTGAGAGAGGAGTAAAGGAGGCCATCTTTGTGAAAAGAAACCGTCCATCATTAAACAGGGGTGGAGGCCTACGTGTTCAACTGTCCCCCTCTTACAATGCTGTGATTGCTAGTATCACTCAGCCCTCTGTGAATAGTAAACAGCCATCAGTGTGCTAATGATCCATTGTTAGGCTGATGGTCCTTCTTGAGCATGTGATCAGCTGGTTTTGGTTGTCAGCAGCAAACTGGTTGATCCACTCTGTGAAGGTGCTATTTAAGAGACTGAGCTGAATACAGCACCTCAGACTGAGGAAGTCTCTCGGATAAAAGACAAAACGTTTCTACATTTTTTTTTTGTTTGTTTTGCTTTGTTTTTTTGAATGTCCAAAGGGCCAGATTGAACTTTTTTTTAGATAAAAGTGGAGAAGAAGTAATTTCTTCTTCTTTGCCTTTATTTTTTACTTTGCCCTACGAATTTGTCTGTAAAAACATGTTTAGCAAAGCAAAGAAAAGTGTACAGTGAGTGCTGAGTGTTTAATATGTAGTGGACAACAACGTATTGTTTCACTGAGGTCCAACTAAAGGCAGTTTTTATGCCAAGAACCTGTCGCGGTTTTCAAAGAGTACACTTTGCTAACTGCTAACTATGCTAGCAAGCCTTTCTCCGAAGGCGATTTTAAAAAAAGAAACATGGTAAAAACAGAGCAGGTCTATTGTGTCCGGAGGGCCAAGATAAGTTAGAAAGAATCAGTTGATCACGCAGGACTGTGACTCGCCTTGTGGAACTGATTGATGAAGATATAGCCAGCAAAATAAACTAAAAGCCAGATTGTCCTTTAAGTTGTGGTTTTGGATGAAAGTAATGATGTAAAGGACACT